GCTCGCGACATTTTATGAAAGATATTGAATGAACAAAATCGTCAATTTGAAATGTCTAAGCAAAGGGATGTATGCTTGGAAGCTGTTAAGAAATTTCAAATGCAAGAGTTAAATGCCAACTGTAATCTTTCGACGGGTTTAACTAAGTTTCGTGATAATCCAAATCAAGGAGTTATTCATAACTGCATATATTGCTATCGCATGCGCTATACATATAAAAGCTAGAAAATGTATATAAAAAATAGATAATTAGTGCACAAGTCTAATCGTGACATGACCGAAGAAAGTTGTCTTTTTAGTCATTAAGTAAGGGTTTTCAATGTAGCGAATTTCAAATGTTTCTAATATTATCTCGGGTCTAGCATTGATTCAAGCTTTGTCTTTAATAATACGTGTCTATGAATACTACATTGTTATATTGAAATATTTTGTATTTCATTTACTAATTTTGTGATCAAAATAAATGGATGTGATTCATTCATGGTGCCTGTTAAGCTTTCAATTCCTAAACCACATAATGAACTGCGATATGATTTTCACTGTTGTATACGAAATATCTAGTGAAGGGTTATCATCTGTGTGTAGCCAAGCCGTGGCCGTATACATTAATACCAAAAATTATCAGTCTGTCTGTTGGAATTCCAAACTTCACGAAATCCCCCTTTGCTAATTGGACAACATCGCTATTTTTTACTTTTAACATTGAATTTTAATGCAAAATTTATCACTGCATTATTTTCAATGCAAACAAAATAATGAATACAAAATATCCAAAACTTTTGTGTGGTGTGTCATATTTTTAGATATAAGTCTCCTAACAATGATAGGTACGTGTCCTTGCATTAAGTATGGATTTGTGTACGTGTAGGCATGTCTTGTGTCCTTACTGTGAGCTGTTAAATGTTGTTTTCAAAGTGAAACATCGCTACCTGCATTTATAGAACCATTCTGCTCTAACCAATGGCATTGCACCGTGTTATATCATGGTAATAAACCATGTTAACCTTAAACAATCCTGGGTTCCTCAAAACTATATTCAAAATATAGTATCGTAAGTATTATATTAGAACGAACTTAAAATATTTCACTTGGGAACTGACAACGAGTTCTTAACAAGGGTTTTTTCATGGTTCCATTGAAAATAGTCCGAGGTCACGTTATCAATTGTATTAAATACGTATTATCAGGAGAGTAATCTGCGACAGACTTTTGAATATCCGGAATGGTAATCGTCGAGTGTATATTATACCAATTAGCACTGACCTGTTAGATAACGTTGTTCACATTATTAGGCACTGAGCAGTCACTCTGGCGATAAATAATGAATTACAAATATCCAACCGTGGATAAGGCAAGGCTTGGTTTTATCAAAGTAGTAAATGCTACGATCCCCACACAATTAAGGGCCCAGCGCTTTTGGGGGCCCCGCGCAATTGGGAGCCACGCTATGGTCTGACCAATAAATTATTTTTTCAATCAGTGTTAAGAAAAGCAAGAAATAAAATAAACCGCGCTTCTGCCTAAACTCATATTTTAAGTATAAACTTAAATTGAAAAATAAAATTCAAGCCACAGATTAGTTGTGTTGTGTTATTTAAAAAGCAAAGAACGACTTTTCTGTTCCGTTTGCAAAGTTACTGATTCCGCTTATTCGTCATCGTCATTACTAATAATTCTAATCTGGTGCTTCTGATAGATAAGCAGATATCAAATTATTAGTTGGTTCTTCAAGGCAATGCAAAGAGAAAAATAATCAAGACCCGGAAGATGATAAACTCACAACTTCATCAATTAATTCATACACATAGTATAAAACAAATTCGCTTTCCGTCGTCTCTCCCTATGTATGCTTAGATCTTTGAAACTACGCAACGGATTTTGATGCGTTTTTTTTAATAGATAGGGTGATCCAAAAGGAAGCTTTTTATGTATAATACAAGACCACGTGGGCGAAGCCACTGGCGGAAAGCTAGTTTTATCATAATCCTGAACAAATTCAGTATTTTCCAATGTAAAAACCTAGATTCGATGAGTATTATAGTTATTAATATTGGTTATCACTTAACACCTACCCGGTGGTCGTTCACCTACTCAGTGGTCTGATATTATAAAAACCGTAACTGGACTAAACGTACCGGCCGCTCTACGCCAAGCGGAGGATAGAGTAGTGTGGAAGTAAATCATCAAAGCTTCAGGGATGTCAACGCAACTCTCACAAGAGACACGACCTTCAGCAATGAAGACAGCGACCAAGAAGAAGAATAACTTTACAATAATAAAAGATCGAAATAAATAATCTTTGAAATTAAATAATTTGCTCAAATAGCGTTCTGTTATTTTGATCAAAATCCTGTCTTCATCACAATCCTACGACATATACCTACAGAAGCAGATATAGGTCAATTGGTGCAAAACAATATTGATTCAAAATATTTAAAGTAACCGATAAGAGATAGTCTATAGAGACTTAATTTAACAAGCATTATCATGGATACTTTAAAAATAAATACTCAGAGACAACAACACTTATTATTGTTACTGGATAAACGACACTGATTCACACTAAAAAAGTGTGGTTAATATACATAGTAAGTAAAGTTAGTCTACTTTTTGGTTCCTTATATATGAATACAAATAAGGAAATTAATTTATAAAGCTGAAGAGTGTGATCGATTGTTTAGTTGAACGCGCCAATCTCAGGACCTAATCAGGTTTGAATTTAAAATTATATTTTTTTATCGTCTTTTTATAGAATCTTATATCACGTTTTGACTATTAGGAGTGCAGCAGCAATAGAAAATGTTGCAAATAAGGGAAATACAACGCGGCAAGGCCACTGGGTCATAAATAAGAGCATTGATAGATAATAACGTTGCTCCATATTGATCCATCCATAGGGAAGGCCTGAGCCCCAGAAGTGGAGACATAATAGGCTGGTGATGATAAGGTGCTAACATCGAGGAGGCTGATGGCGCAGTGTAACCTACACTCTTCACTGACAAAATAGAACACTAGTGCCATCTATTGATAGTAAAAATAATATAAAATGTGATTTTGCACTCTCAACATTATAGATGGCAGTGTACTATAAAACTAGCCAATCTTTAGCGCCATCTCTTAGATCGTTTTAGTACTAGTTCGAAAATAATTAACATGCGTGCGTGATACGTTAGAAGGCCAAGCAAGTGCTTATCAATATGACCTGTAGATGGAGTCATTTCGGTTTTGTTTTGTTAAATAGAAAATGTTGCAAATATGGGAAATACAACGCGGCAAGGCCACTGGGTCATAAATAAGAGCATTGATAGATAATAACGTTGCTCCATATTGATCCATCCATAGGGAAGGCCTGAGCCCCAGAAGTGGAGACATAATAGGCTGGTGATGATAAGGTGCTAACATCGAGGAGGCTGATGGCGCAGTGTAACCTACACTCTTCACTGACAAAATAGAACACTAGTGCCATCTATTGATAGTAAAAATAATATAAAATGTGATTTTGCACTCTCAACATTATAGATGGCAGTGTACTATAAAACTAGCCAATCTTTAGCGCCATCTCTTAGATCGTTTTAGTACTAGTTCGAAAATAATTAACATGCGTGCGTGATACGTTAGAAGGCCAAGCAAGTGCTTATCAATATGACCTGTAGATGGAGTCATTTCGGTTTTGTTTTGTTAAATTGATTTGTTTGTTAATTTGATTGGAACTGTTTCGAAATTTATATGTAGCGGAGGGAACTTTAAATTTACAACGTGTACTTTATCTAGAAGTGTTACTAGACAAAGATATATCAAAATATTACTTAACTAAGGTCTTACTTAATCTTGTCACTAATACTAAAACCATATAGGAGATGGTGCTACTAACGATTATCTTCGTTATATTGGATATTTCCGATATCATACACAATTAGCTTTGCGCCAGCGGCTTCACTCGCGTGGTCCCTAGGGAACTGTTTATTTGGATATTGACTGATTGATTCATATCGTGACATGGATATAACTAGGTATAATTACAAATTGAATGGTAAACAATGGTTTCTATGGTAACGTTTTAATTCCCTATATTCTCCATTAAACTTCCACTCCATTTTCATTATATAGGGATTGCTTTTATTTCGGTATAAAATTATTAGCTTCCGCACCGGATATAAGTAGATTCCCGTAGGTGAAAGAATTTTTAAAATCGGTCTACAAGTTTCGGAGCCTATTTGTTGCAAGCAAACAAACAAACAATTAATTTTTTCCTCTTTATAATATTAGTATAGATTAATAGCCTGGAGGTATATTAGACATAAATTATATTCCTTCCTTTTTTTTAAATGTATGCTCCCATATTAGTATGGTAACATCAGTATATATTTTCAATCTTGCTTAAAGATCCTACAACTTTTACGGTACAGGAACTGGGTTTTCCCAGTCCAAAAGTAAATACCTACCTATTTATAGTTTCTAGCACAGTAGAGGACAGTAACCGAATATGGAATTTGTTCTAAAATTATTCCTATCATAATAGGGGAAGCTTTTGTACATTTTCAATCAAGAACAGGAAATTCGCGGTCGGTTGATGAATTCGATTGACTTATTTCAAAGTTTGAAATGGGTAGAGTATTTTATGGCTATGATTTTGTTCTTTTGCTTATCATCAAGATATGGCACTCTGCCTATTGCAGGATATATTATTACAATGTTATTTTAACGGTTGAGCTAAGCTAAGTTTTTGGAAAAAAAAATTTCCAACACACAAAATTTTGCTATTCTACAAAACTTTCTTAATTATTATTTTCATCTTTTGTATGATTATTTACCTTATTAAGCACTATAATCTAGAGCAATAGTCAGTTCCCATGGTCAGTTCCCTTTAAATATTTCTGTTACTGCTACTTTGTATAATGTTGTTGTTAAATAAAAGGCAGTTGGAACTATAAAAATACGTTTAATACTAGCATTTAATACAATAAGGACTAAGCGTAGGAATCGTATAGGGTACGTTTTTGTCACCGGTGCGGCGGCAGGAAGCCGAGGGCACGCAACGCCGTGTCCGTGCGCGCTATGAGGGGCTCGCGCCACCGCCATATGGCCGTATCGCGCACCGGCTGCGCTCGCAGTTCCGCGCAGCTCTTGCTCAGCGCCGTCACACAGTCGGCACGGTAGTGCTGCAGTCGGGCGTGCTCCGTCTGCAACGCATACGAAGAACATGCGCCGCCCAAGCACGCCAGCGGGAAATGGTTATGTAGTGCTAACACGCGCTCCGTTTCGTGGAACGCCTTCACATACTGGCCGGGCTTTGTGAAGTTGCGCGTGCGGTACACGTGCTGCAGCATATGCAGGTGTCGTGGCACGCCCTCTTCCCAGCCGTGTTCGTGACGCAGGGAATCTAGGAAGTATAAGTTGGACGCGTGGTACGAGCTCCGAGGCGGCTTGCCCTCCGCGGGCGTCGACAGAGGCAGCACGCGCTTCATCAACGAACTCCAGTCGTCGTCCTCGAGCGGAACGATAATCTCGTCGATGTCGAGAAGAGCCAACCATCTGTACTCGTACATGTGCCGGTATAGGCAGTCGTTGTACGGGATCAGTTCCATCTGTCGCTTGTGCGTCGTTTTCTTTTTGAGATACATATGCTGCAGGCCTGGCAGGTTCGGTTGACCTCCGGGTAATGTTACGGGAGTCACGGTCACTGCGCCCTGGGCGGTATAGTATTCCAGCACCTTCGTTATGTTCGGATGCACTTGCAGTTCGTAGAAAAAAATTTTGTCAGCTCCGAGTAACCGGACGAGTTCGATCCACTCGACAAGGCGCACCGAGAGGTCTTCGTGCAAGAAATCGAGACCTTTTACGCAGACCGCGAACTCTTTCCGATCTTCCACCGGCGGGCGATGATAGTGGACGCGAAGGTTATTGGTGGCCCTATCGCAAGGGTTCTCCACTATAGAGACGGAGGCGGGCACCAGGTGGCGCACCTCCTGGGGCAGCACGCACGCCAGCAGGTACGGCTGCAGCACGTGATCCCGGTAGTTGCCCCACTTGCTGTTCCACACGTACTTGTACTCGAGATTGCGCACTACCACTGGCGCGTCGCGTTCTTCAAACCACAGCTGACAATGTGTCGCGAGCGCCGGCTTAATGCGGTCGTGGACTGCAAGCACGCGCACCGCGGGCCCGATGCGTGATGTGTTGCGCGCGTCCATATATGCGCCGTAGAAATGGAACACTCCCTGAGAGGAGTGAAACGTCTGCCAGTAGGTGTTATGGAATTCGAGATCATATATAGAGGGGAAGGGGGCGCAATCCTTTTTCTTGAAAAATTTGTTTTTGTCGTCCTTGTGTTTGCGCCAGTAGGCAAGGGGGAGGGAGGGGAGGCGGCGCTCGGCGTCGGCGACCAACTCTTCCTCGGAGAGTACGCGGGTGTCGGTGGCGGGGCGAGGCGGCGGCGTGGCGGGCGTGGAGGCGGCCGGCTCCGACTGCAGCAGGAGGCGAGCGGGGGGCGCGGGCGGCGCGGAGGCGCGGAGCGCGGGCGCCTGCTGCAGCCGCGGCAGCGCGAGAGCTGCCAGCGCGCCCCAGCATAGCAGCGCACACAACCAGCGTAGACGAGCGCGCGACCCGCCGCTCCACCACCGCACCACCCACCCGCGCATGGCCTGGAAAGAAATACAATCAATTGTCATTTGACGAACAAAATTTTTTATTTTATTTTAGAAAGTGCTCGATTTCCCCAATGATTTATAATTAAAAACGATCTTAAGAAGGCCGTAAAATAGTCAGTTCGCTATTTGAGGCTATTTACCGTTCTTTCTCGCGCCCTATTTATTAAAGTCAATACAAAGTAGGTAGCGTACACGTACAATGGTATAGAGATGGCACGTGTCGAGCCCGCAGGGTGCACACCGTATGTGCACCTCTATACCTTGCGTCTGTCTGTCGCCGGGCATCATGCTGCCACCACGCCCCGGGTTGTTTCACCGGCGCTGTTTCTATACAACAGTTCCGATTCCACTCTTCCCTCGACATCGTATATTGAACACATCAAATTTACTCTTGCTATTGTTCGGTCGTCACCTCATACTATAGATTTATTTCTTGATACCTCTAAATGATTTATTGTAAATTTAACATAACATCTGTTCTTACGCTAATAATAATAACATATCGTAAAAAGTATTTGAGTTTATGTCTTTGTTTACTTTATGTTGTCATTGTTATGACAAATAAAACATTTATTTGTCGTTAGATTGAAGTTTCTCTACTCGAAGGTCAAAGAAAAGAGGTGGGCATATAGAGTTATATTATCAATTAAGTAGATTTCCGTCAGCGTGTTCGCCTGCGTTTTTCTTAAGGAATTGTTTAGTGATATTAAAATATGGGTTGGATTGGGATCCAAGCTTAGAATTTTATTTAATAAATCATTTGGATAATGACTCGGACATAATTTACTCTTCGACATGGATATAATTACAATGACAAATTGAATCTTAAACGATGATTATCTATGACAATCTTTTAATTCAATAACAAACTTCTATTCCCATTTTCATCCCTTTATTTACCGTTTTTCGGTATAAAATATAGCCTATGTTCACCGCATATGATGTAGCTTCTAGTGGGTGATTTTTTTTAAATCAGTCCAGTAGTTTCGGAGCCTATAAATAATCAAACCTTTCCTCTTTATAATAAAAGAAAAAAAGTATAGACTGCAAGTGAAAAGACACTAATATAGACAGAATATAGATTTATATGAATATTAGTAATGCAAACGAGTACTAATTTTATTTATGTATTGAATAGTCGGAGCTTTGGACGAGTAACGGCATTGCTCCTCTCTCCTCGAGTACCGTTTCAATCCAGCGCCCACCAGATAACACGAACACCTTCACTTCCACTGTCATTTGTTAATCAAATATCTTAAATTTTGAATATGCTTAAATTTAACAATAGTTTGGATATTCAACGTATTCTATTGGCTAATATCAATTAAAAAATTTATATGATGTTTCATTATCATAAAAGTGTTACTATTTTCAATAAGATATATTTTTTTAGCATACCTTAAATGTGTAACGGTTTGCCATACCATCGTTTATTTTTCCTAGGTTTCAGCATGCAAACTTTTTATCTTTGATATTCAACATCATTTCTTTTTATTATTCATCTTTCGTAATTTGAAATTTTTGACTAATCAAATATACTCTTTATGGATGTCAGTTCGTAAAAAAAAATTCTGTTGTGAATATTGTAAATTGTATAAATTTCAATATTTAAATTATATTAATGAAGATATGTTATTAAAATAAAATTATAAATAAAATAAAATAAAAGTATATCCTGAAACTTGAACGATCCAAGTTTTTATTAAGAAACCCAAAAAGGGGTATGTACTCGTTTTATTTGGTAATTTTAAATTTTATATTTAGTTAACATACAAACTGTTTTTATATACTTTTTTTTTGTTTGTTACAGTTTCTTTACTTGATCCTTTATACCACAAAATAAATCCGTTCTCAAGCTAGTCAGCCTTTTATTATTTGCCCAACCATCGAACCCGTCACAAATGTTTTATTATATTTGGTGGATATTTGGCATTATGTGATAATTTGTATGTTTCTGTGATTTTAATGAAGCTTAGACATGTAATTTGTGAATGTAACGTGATCAACAGCTAAATAATATTTTCACACGATGTAAAGGTGCGTTTGTAAAGTTTTTTCGTCATAGTTCTAGAGTAAATACCCTTACCTATATACCTATATAGAAAGGAAAATAATTTTAGTAGAAACTCAAAACTTAACCAGAAATAACAAAATAAACTTGTTTTAAAGTGGACAGCCTTGTGTTAGCTGAAGCTTAGCAGACCAATAACATTAGTCCAAGCTAGTTTTATGTCCTAATAGTAGTTGCGTTTCATAACTTGTACAATCACAATTCTAGATTTTGATAAACCTAATAGAAAATTAAGAGTACGAAGAGCATTTAGTTTTTTACAAATTCGTACTTATGTCAGAATAATTATTTAAATAAGTAGCAACAATATAACACAAAACATCTTTGAGTTTCAAAATAAGTGTTTAATATTTACTACGATCTGTAGGAAATCGATATTAAGAATTTGAATATCTCATATCAGAAGATCACTCATTCCGATGTATATTATAAGTATGCAAACTTATTTCCGATTTCACGGCTCGAATCTATTGCACCATTAGATTATTTAGTAATAGTAGGTAATGATATTAGTGTATAATTCGTTGCCATAATGATCTCTGTTGCCGAGACAACCATATCGAATGTAAAACCATCTTCTTTGTAATAAGTTTTGATTTCGATTACCCGATACGTCAGTATAGAAAACATGATTATTCATTCATCACTGCAAGCTGTGTATTGCCAACGTAAGCTGAGCAATAGACTTGGAAAAATGTGGGGAAGCCAAGTTTAAATAAAACAAAGTACTACTTGAAGCAGTATTCCGATTGACTCAATTAACAGTTTTACTTTTCGTTCTGTTGATTCCATTATATCGTTTTTTTGCATATTATTTCCAGCACATGAAATACAAATGTGTGTTGGGCTAATAAATGTTTCATTTTTCAATTTTTCCAAAATCTTGGAACTTCGTTAGAAAAAATTATACTTTGTGGACGATTTGTCACATGTATAAATGTTGTCTGCATTCCATACTCCAGTTACATTTGGCTGGGTAATTAGAACTTTAACAATCACAAGCGGGTGTTCACTCATGCGAATAATTATATGATTATAATTCTATCACATGGTTTCGAATGTAAGTCTACATAAACAAGTTATAGCTTGGGGTTATGGTTTTTAGGTAATTATACTACTACACCTTAGTGACCTAGCGCTACAGTTCAAATAATATCCGTGTATCTTTATGCATGACATTACTATAAATTCTAAGTGAATATTTTTAACTTTTGTAAAAAAAAATATTTACTAAACATTTTGTTAGTCTTTTTTAAATATACTTGATTGACTTTTGCATACGCAATGCTATATTTATATTTATATTGTAAAACAAATTCACCTCTCCCAGTTTTACAAGATCTCGCGAAATTTTCTTTTAGAAAATCCTTTGTTATCAATTTTTATCTAAAGTATCTTTAACTAGGTTCACCGCCTTTGTAGTTATTATGCATTATTTATGAAGTAATTATTTGGTTTTATTTTTTAGTTTTTTTTATTGGCAATGGTATCTGGTATTTATCATATATAGAACTAGATTTCCAACAGCGGGTTCGTCCGGGAGATCCTGTATTATAAATATATAATGTCCTATTGGATCACTCTGAATATTGATGAAAACGTCATTAAAATCCTTTGCGTAGTTTAAAAGATCTCAGCGTACATAAAACTGGGTGCGATGTTGTTTTATACTATGTATATACGACATTCAAATATGTAATGGTACAGACAGACGGAAATGAGTTTTCTCTGGTCCAGTCGGTGTATAAAGTTTATTTTGTTTGTGTCAAGGCCGCGTCTCTTGTAACCGTGCCACGCACCCGCACACATCGAAAAGTACCTACACTACTAATAAAGCTCAATTTCGGAATCACTCGCTTAAATTCCTATTGTCTTCTATGATTAAAGTCATACTATTCACCTTGTAAGACGCAAGATAGCCTTTTTCTGCATTTTTGGTTTTCTTCTCCGATATTGCTAACATTATGAATAATAATGTTGATTTTTTTCACGCAAAAGGTTCGTAAGTCGCAATAAATAAATTTGCGCAATGCAAACTATAACTTTATGAAAGCACTTTAAAAATGTATGAAGTAGATGTTTCGCAAAATGGAATAGCGCTTTCTGTATTTAAAAAGTTGCAGTATTAATGTTGACATTAAAGTTCTATGACTCTTTCGATTATACAATGAGCGACGAGTAGTTTTAGTAAATGTGAACAAAAAAAAAATTTTTTTATGCCAGTTTAAAATTTGATCCAAATTTTTAACTGGTATAGCGAGCGTTCGACACTAGACGATTGATTTACAAATACCTAGAGTTCTGGATACCATTCTTAACGGGATTCGTTACGATACGTGTGTTATATTAACATCAACGGTGTCTGCTGTTGAAATAGATACAGAACACAACTGCACAGTTTAACTAGTTTATGGGAACTAGTATTTTTATCATACGATGAAAATTACTAAGTAGAAAGATAAAGCATATGCAAAAAGTTTTTATAAACTAAAACGTTAACTAATAAGACTCTGATAAGAGAGAGAGAATAGGCTGCGAAAATGTGATACCAGGACTGAAATAGAAATAAAAAAAAACATAGAAAACTAGTTGTCGCTGACTTTGCCTCTGTTAATAATATATAGCCTTTGTTAAGCGCATATAATGTAACTTGCCGTAGGTGAAAGAATTTTTAAAATCGGTGTAGTACCTACTGCCCAAGCCTGTTCAATGCAAACAAACGAAAGACCAAATCGTTTCTTTTTATAATATTAATATAGAAACAGATAAATATAAAACTCTATCAGTCAGTTGCACAAATATCCAAGTTTAATGACGCCTTTTAGCTCTAATGAATGTCAAATTTGTATAGGTAATGTCGCTTTAAACTAATGACGATTTTAATAGATGTTTGTGCAACTGGCTGTTCGACTAATTAATTTAAGGCTAATTATTTTAAAGAATAAAAGGTTATTCAAATGTATATAACTAACGATACGAATACATGATCGTGATGATAATAGCACACTTATAAGTAGTGACCTATGTTAATGCGCTTTTAGCTACAACTAATATGCTGTTTACTATGTAATTAAACATATGATTTTAAAGAAAATCGATTTCAATATTCTTCAAATTGATACGTTCTGATGATAATACCTTTATCAGTTGAAATATTTCAGAACTTTATAACATCAGGCATATTTAGATTATTTCTATATGCAACTATTTCTTTTGTACATGTTTTTGTTACTGAATATTTCCTAGACAAGTGAACCGAATTGAAAGTTTACTTCTCGGAAATTAATAAATACTGATTTTCAGAATGTCATTTATGAAATCACTCCTTTTAGTTTAAATGTGTTAATTGCGAAACAAGCATCGATGTAGAGTGAGCTGCTATAAACGTGCATAGTATTATATTAGTTCACTTCGGCTACTGTAAAGCCCCAGGACACTGAACACTAATGATTAGTGCTTCAGCGGATAGTTTGTGAGCGGATGACTTTCTAATGTGACATAATACGTTACATAAAGCTCTATTGTTAGGTCAGGGTTGCCAGATGGGAATACAGAATAATGTCTGCATTCTTCAAATAAATGAAAAAAAAAAGCTTTTAGCCAACATCACATATACGTAGATGAGATACTATTAGAAAGTAGGTAGCTACAGTCCTTGTTCTATCGAAATTTTGAAATAACGAAGGTACTCGTATCAAAACCAAAAATATATGTATATTGGATCCAGGATTCGAATCTTGAAACCGCTATACAAAAAAAAGGTGTTCAATCAAACTGATAAGGTAATCGTATAGATTACTCCGGTCTACGCGAGAGGGTAATACGGAGTGTTTTGTTGATTAGGCCAACTGCACTGGACCGCCGTCCCTTGAAGTTGGAAAGCTTAGTCGGCCTATAGACCAAATTGATAAAATGTTAAGGTCAGTTCCCTTCGATGTAAAAAAGGGTTGATATACCTTCGTTATGAAAAATTCCCATCTAACAGTGGAAACCGTATCGAAATGCTTCCGTTTAGTTAAGGAGGAATTAAATATTTAATCGACACACAGCCAGTTGCACAAACGTGCATTAAAATTGTCATTAGTTTAAAGTGACATTACCAATACAAATTTGACATTCATTAGAGCTTAAAGCCGTCATTAAGGCTTAATGGACGTTTGTGCAACTCACCGACAGAGAACCATAAAAGGAGAGCGCTTCTTTAATTTATATGCAATGATTAAATAATGACAACCAAACTCAATTTGTTAGCACAACTCCTTACGTAAACTTGTTTGTCGGGACATATTGTTATTTTGGGAATCTGTTATACGATAATAAATGTTGTAATAATCTTTTTGAATCTATCTGGCAACGTTACGGTGAACGCAATGCATCGAGCCAACTGTGCCACTGCCCGTCGCCAGGTGCGCGTGCGCAACTCACAATATTTACATACACACGACAAATAGTCAATAGTACAAAGACAAATATGCAATACTGAACGTGCACATTAGAGTTTTTATAGAAAAAAAAAACTGTTTTACCGCGAATTTCGCCTTTGTAAATTATAGCCCATGTTACCCGCGTATGATGTAGCTTCCAGTAGGTTAAAGAATTTGCATAATCGATTTAGTATTTCCGAGTATCTGTATAGTTTGTCGTAGGGCTAATCACAAAGAACAAAGTCAGATACTTTACCTCTTTATAATGTTAGTATAGCTCATAGATTAAAGGGGAAACATTTTCCTGGATGTAACAATAAGCCCTAATCAAAATAGTGTCTTGAAAATTTTACATTATTATTGATACATATATTTTTCTTTATTCCAGTATAATTTGTAGGTACATCAGTGTGCGAAATAGTGGATTTGATAAGATTGTTTCTTATCAGTCCATTATTATCAAGAGAAACGCATAGGACTAAAACGAACATTAGCATGTTGCGTAGAATAAATCAGTATATAATCAAGTAATATGTACAAGTGTTAGTATAAGCTAAATATTATGATATCAAGTATTTTCATTTATGTCTATATGGTCAACGGATATATATTCACGCTTCCAGCGAGAACATCTACTACCCTTTATACAGATAGAATTGTCCACCATAAGGCACAAAGTCTTCACTTAAATATTCCGCCCCCCTGCCGTCTGGTAGGAAAATTCAGTAGCAACTGTTACAGTGTTTAAGCATAACAAGGTTTTGATTTATAGACTTAGTCCAATCAAATAAAAATAAATATTTTGGAAATGAACTTACATTGTTTACGAGTAAGGAGCAAAAGTGATAAAAACCTACAAAAAAAAATTTACGAAAATGTCGAATTTTGAACTACAGCTTTTGCCATTCGACGACAGTCCCGACGACAGTACGACAATGGAATTTCATAGTTGTTTTCAAAACTATTTTATTGCAAAAGATGTGTGTTGAACTCTTTAACGATACTATATTTTTTAATTATGAATTATGGCCTATTGGATATTTATTGGTGCACCAACATAAGTATGTACACAAACCTTACATAATGGTTATATAAACACCTGACAGTTTACAAAAAAAAAACTTGGAGTATTCGCCATTTTGATTTTAAATATGTAATTTCATGTATTATTATATAAACCAAGTATATATAAACCATTATGTAAGGTTTGTGTACATACTTATGTTGGTGCACCAATAAATATCCAATAGGCCATAATTCATAATTAAAAAATATAGTATTGTTAAAGAGTTCAACACACATCTTTTGCAATAAAATAGTTTTGAAAACAACTATGAAATTCCATTGTCGTACTGTCGTCGGGACTGTCGTAAGTACGTGTGTTTATTCCTAACTTATTTTTACACGAACAATCTTGAACAAATATAGTTTGTCTACATAATAAAATTCATGAACTAAACGTTAGTTAAACTGATTAGTTAGGTCATTGCCCGCACGAGGAGCATCGTTTCCCACGATAATTAATAACGTAGACACGTAAATTAATGGCGAAAATACAACGAGGCGATATTTTATGGCGCCATTTCATTGGTTAAAATTACAGTTTTTATTACAGACAGTTTTTTTTTCTATTTTTTTAAGGACTTTTATCTTTAAGATATGACAGTCCTATCGTACACTAGATATACATAATCTACAGTTTTAAAATAATAGTTGTGAGATCAACAATCGTCGATGTACAGACAGTTCTAAAATTAAATACAAGAGAAATGAGTTCAGATTAAAGTTATAGATTTAAAATTAATAAACGTGGAAGTTTAAGGTAAGTTTCATATTGAACTGTTTTACACAAGGTCATATGCAATGCATCAGATAACGTTACAACAAGAAAAAGATAGTCATAAGAGAAGGTTTATTAGGTAACCAGTTAAATTGTTGAGGCTGCAGCTGTCAGTCTGGAAAAATGACGTGACCAGTGTAAGAAGAGTGACCATGAACATCTATACGAAATACCCAATTTGAATTTATGTAGCCCTAAGAAAAACGGTCAATTTTAAAATAATTATAAAATACATATTTGTATTTTTAATTTTCATTGATTCGTTAAAGTTCAGTATATCGTATACTGAACTTTTAATTATGCCCAGTAAAATACAAAAATATGTTTATATATAATTATTTTTATAATAAAACAAAACTGCAACTTAATCCAATTTTTAGAAGAATTTAAAAATCGGACTTCAAATGATGGAGAAATCGCTGTGCATATATGACAACAATATAGTCGACGAACATAGAACCTCTCTATTTCTGAAATTTGTTTAAAAACAAGCAAAACATTTCAGATTTAGTCCGACTCAAACATAAAATATGGTAATACTAACACTGACAGTGAATGCCGACCGACGTTAGGTCGCGAGAGTGCGAAAGTTAGATTTTTGTTACACAATAAAGCAGAACTGAAGGACATGTAACCACTTAGTTAGATCATATTCAGACTGGATTAACATCGATAATGATGTATACTATAATCGCATTA